TCGATGTTTTGTGCTCGAGGTATTTGGTCGAGTTGACATTCGTCGAATTCCGGCAGTAGCTTATGAATTTCAGCCTGGTACTTTTGTAGTCTTTGCTCTTTGATTTGAAAAGTTCCTGTGACTTGGTTGACAACGAGTTGTGAGTCATATGGGAGGACGACCCGTCGTGCTCCGTATTTGAGATCTAGCTTCAGTCCTGCAATTACGGCCTCGTACTCGGCCTCATTGTTAGTCATGTCGGGGAACCGTATGGACTGGCGAATGACTTCGCATGTTGGGACCTCGAGTACGAGTACCAATCCAGATCCTGACGTATTGGAAGCGCCATCGGTGTATAGGACCCATAGGTCGATTGGGTAATCTGAGAGAGGAATGAGAAGTTTCCTACTCAGCCTCAAGCATTATTTTGGCACTAAAATTGGCGACGAAGTCGGCGAGTACCTACGATTTTATCGATGTTCATGGCTGATATGTTATATCATGTTCGCTCAATTCTATAGCCCACTCGGTCAATCTCCACGACAGCTCGGGTTTATGTAGGATGCTCATTAGGGGGAGGGGGGAAGGTCGTGACCACCGATATAGGGTGACATTGAAAAAAGGGTCTAAGCTTTCGTGAAGCTATGACCAATGCCAAGGCCAACTGGTATCGTGTTTTGGCGTCGACCAGGGTTTTACTAATGTAATAGATTGGAGATTGCATACCTTTGTTTTCACGGACCAGCACTGCACTTACTGCGACCTCTGATACGGCCAAGTGTATCAGGAGGCGCTCGTCGAGTTCTGCTTTGGCGAGTAGCGGGGGCGAAGATAAGTATGCCTTTAGTTCTCTTAAGGCCTCGATGAATTCTGAATTCCACTGGAGTCCGTTGTCTTTTTTAAGCACGTTGAAGAATTTGTGGCATCTGTCAGAGGATCGTGAGATGAACCTTGACAAGTCAGCTATACGATCGGTCATCTTTTGTACCTATTTCTTGCTGGTCAATACCTCGGGTATTCCCTCAATGGCTTTGATCTGGTCAAGATTGACCTCGATCCCTCGTTGTGATACCAGAAAATCGAGGAACTTGCCCGAGGTTACGCTGAAAGCACACTTTTCGGGGTTCAGCTTCATGCCGTATCGCCTTAGTATACCGAAGGCTTCCTTTAGATGGTCGATGTGGTCTTCTTTCCTTTTTGATTTGACCAATATATCGTCTATGTAAACTTCCATTATTTTGCCGAGTTGGTCCTTGAACATCTTGGTGACCAGCCTCTGATAAGCCGCCCCTACGTTCTTCAACCTGAATGGCATGACTCTGTAGCAGTACGCTCCTTGGTGGGTGGGTGGTCTTCTCCTGGTCCCCTTCCTCCATGACGATCTGGTTGTAGCCTGAGTAGGCGTCCAAGAAACTTAATAACTCGTGTCCCGCTGTTGCGTCGATGAGCTGATCGATATGAGGCAACGGGAAGGAATCTTTCGAACAGGCTTTGCTTAAGTCCGTGAAATCCACGCACATGCGCCATTTCCCATTTTTCTTTTTCACCATGACCACATTGGCGACCCATTGGGGTTATTTAGACTTCTGAATAGAGTCGTTGGTGAGTAACTTCTTTACCTCTTCGTGGACGGCCTCATTGAATGCGGCGTTAAAATTTCTTCTGATTCGTCGTACTGGTGGCCGGTGGATAGAGTGGATCGACATTCAGCTTGTGTGTGGCAATATCTTTCGAGATACCTGGCATATCTGCATGGGAGAAAGCAAACAGATCGGCATTGTCAATTAAAAATTTATGAAATTTACCTGGTTCTGAGAGCTTATGGTCGATGTAGGCTTTTTTACTGCAGTCGTTGTTGTCTAGTTGTACGGGGCCGAGGTATCTTCTATCGTTGACCCTCTGGCTTCCACGACGTCAGGATCCTTGATGACGTCTTTTTGTTCGTTGAGATCAGGTCCCAACTTTGGTAATTCCTATGCTTCCAAGTCCATTCCCTTTAACTATTGAGTATGTGCACAATCTTGGGCGATGCGGTAGCACTCTTTGGCTGTGCGATGTTCGCCTCTGATGCTGAATATCCCCCACGGAGTAGGGAACTTGATTACTTAGTATAGGCTGGACGGGATGGCCCTCATGGCGTGTATCCAGGGTCGCCCTATTATGGCATTGTAAGATGTGTCTTGGTTCATGACATGAAACGTTGTTTCCAAGGTGACGCCTCCGGCCAGAACGGGCAGCATTATTTCTCTTGAGGTTCGCTTAACTACATTGTTAAAACCTGTTAGTGTTATGCAGGGTGGTACTATCTTGTCCTCGAGTTTCATTTGCGCGAGAACTCGAGGCTGAATAATACATGCGCCGCTTCCGTCGTCTACCATTATTCTTTTTACATCACTATCAGAAATACATAAAGTAATGACAGGAGCATCGAAGTGAGGAAAGGTTACACCGTGGGTATCTGACTTATCGAAGATGATACTGTCTTCGAGGTCATCATACCGTTCGTGGGTGATCGACCGCTTCAGTTTATGTGTGGTAGTAAACTTCACGCGGTTGATTGGTGCTTCGTCGCTTCCGCCGATTATCATTTGGATGGTGCGGGCCGGGGAGAGTGGCTTTGGAGGGCCTTGGTGTTGTTCTCGTCTGCGACCGAAGTTGGCTCTTCCTCGGTCGCTCATCAACTCCCTTAGGTGTCCTTGGTGAAGCATGTTCACTACTTCCTATCGTAGGGCTATACAGTCTTCATTCTTGTGACCCCGCTCCTTAGGAACTCGTAGAGGACGTTCGACTTTCTGGTGCTTGGGTCGGACTTCATCTTCTGTGGCCATTTCACCTTCGGGTCGAGTTTCTCTAGTGCGTACACTATTTCTGAAGGGGAAACTCAAAAATTGTGAGCAGATAAGAGTGGTGGCATACCTCTTTCGTTTCGCTGAGTCCCTGTATGCGGCCTGGACGGCCTCTATGTGGCGAAGAGATGGAAGGATGGCCGTTCTGACATATGGTTGGTGTCTGTCCCAGTTGAGGCGTGGACCTGAATGGTCTCTTCGGCTATCATTACAGCGGTCATTCCTCTTCTCCGTTTGGACTGACGTTAGTCGTTGGGTTGGACCGTTGAGGTCATCCTCGCCTGCTCTCACCTCGGCGCAATAGGCGTTGTGAATTTCTTCCCAAGTGGTGGGAGGGTATTTCATGCGCCTGCTTAACAACTTTCTGGTCTCCCTCGACCCATTCTTGTTTAACCCATTTTGGAAGGTTGCCACTGCCATCCCTTTTGATACGTTTGGCAAGCTCATTCTTACTCTGTTGAATCTGGTGAGGAAGTCCCTGAGTCCCTCGCCAGGTGATTATCTGACGACGAATATAACATTCACCCTGGCCTCCGCCTTCTTGGCCCCGGCATGGGCGGTGACGAACTTGTCGGCCATTTCTTCGAACGTTGTTATTGATGGTGCCGGTAATTGTGAGTACCATGTTAAGGCTCCCCCTATTAGGGTTTTGCCGAACTTCTTCATCAACAGTGATGCACCTGCTCTTTTGAGAGGTCGTTGCCTTTCACTGCTGTGACGTAATGAATGATGTGGTCTTCGGGGTTTGTTGTGCCGTCATATATCTTCAAATATGGTGGCATTTTGAAGGTCTTGGGTATGGCATGTAGGGCTGCCTCCTCGCTGTACGATTGTTCGACGAACCGGCCGGCGTCCCATTTTGGTAGCAATTTTGGGGCGCCTGGTATCTTATCAACCCTTTCCTGATGCTCCCTCATTTGGCCTCGGAGCGTTTTATTCTCGTTCTCCATTTCTTCCATTTTTTTCAGAATGGCCGCAAGTGCGTCATTACCTGTACCAACAACGGTGTGAGTGTTACCTATTGGGAGAAGAGCCCCCAGCAGGTTGCTCGTTGGCGGTTGCTGTGGTATCCGCTCGTGCGGCGCTTCTACTCGCCCCTTGAACGGGCTTGTCGAGTATGTCGTTTAGAGTGCTTGTTAGCCACGTCTCCAGTAGTTTTTTTATTGCTGGTGGCGCTTCCTCAATTGTGGACGTGGAGGCTCCCCTTTCGCGTGAAGCGGTTACACTTCCATGAGGGGGAGGTGAGTCGCTCCACCTGGGTGTAGCACTCGGTATCACATTCTCCTCGCCTTCTCTGTCAACCTCGTTGATGGTGTTCAAGAGGTTGGCAGTGACGTCCACTACTGCTTTCAGCCTTTCATCTCCTTTTCCTGCCATTGTTAGTTCGTGCAAACGAGAAAAAAAATGGATTTTTTTTATCTAGATGGAACTAAAATTTTGACTAGAAAGTCCCTACAAACGGCGCCAAATTGTTTGACCAAAAAGTATTAAGCTTTTTGTCAAACTAATTAATGGGGAAATAGAGGGTGTATCCTAGTTAAACATAATAAATTCTAGATCTAAGATTGGGGGATATCAGTGGGCTGAGACCGTGTTCGAGAATATTAAATATCAAGTATATGACCAATGATTGTCAATGAATGTGATAATAGAAGCATGCAATAAATGTAGATAATGGCAATAAATGTAGATAATGGCAATAAATGTAATAAGAAGGAATTTATCATCCAAATGTTCGGTGACTTGGATGATTTTCCTCCCTAACAACGACGTGGGATGATAAGCAATAAAGATGGATAAGGAATCTTTGGACCTTGTGAATGAACAACGTAAAAAAAAAATAATGAAATCAGTGAATAAGCTTTTGTATATTCTCCTCAGTCAACCCTTTACAATGCGCTCTCATCAAAAAGTGAAGATCCTCTTTTTGTTCTTTATCTCTTCGTAAGGAATATTGGAATATTCCTTCTTTCTAATCTAACTTATCCTAACGTTATTTTCACACATCCTTTGCTCGACCTCGGCCGTAATCCTTCTTAAGGCGACTCCTCGCTCTCACGCCGTGGTAAGCTTATTCTTCGACCACGTCCATTTGCAGCTATTAAGTCTTAGCCAAATTTTGACCAATACAATCAATTCGAAAATTGGCTAGCTCGTGCTAACACTCAATTGAGATTAGGAAAACCCAAAAGCTTTGACACAAGCTTTATATATTATTTTAAAAATCACGTAAGATGTACAAATAGTATTAGTAATTGTCGTTATAGTCATAGTGCTATTACTAGCACTTAAATTACCAAGACAGGCCAAATAGTTACAAGCCGCCGCTGATAAAAATTTAGGAAAGTTTGTTCCATCCTTCTCTATCCTCATATGAGAAGTAGATCATAATGGTGGAAATTGTATATAAGCAAACATGCTGGCTCGGTTCATTCCTTCAAGAGAGTCAGCAACTTCATTTCCTTCCCTGAAAGTACGTCTCTAAGGATTGGATTCGAGGGAATCTGTCTTTAATAACCTGCAATCATGAACAATATTATTAGAGCACCGAGTAAAAAATGAAGAGATTAGGGAAGTGGTCGTGAATTGGAAATTAAATACTCCATTCGTTTAAGTTTAAATGACATACTTTCCTTATTACTCTGTTTAAAAAAGAATGACATATTTCTATATTTGAAAACAATTTAACTTTAAACTTTTTTCTTTTACCCATAATAAGAAGCTTTTATAGTCACACGAATGCATGATCCTATTTTTATCCCTTAAGCCTTCGAGACCATATGGTTCAAGTCTCCTTTTTTTCTTAAACTTTGTGCCAAATCAAAATATATCATCTAAATTTAAATGAAGAAAGTATAAACTTAACACCTATTCTAGGGTTTGTTTGAATCACCTCATGCTGTTGGATGGTTGTATTGTGGATGGACAAGCAATACAACGAGTGTTTATTACTGGGACAATTATAACTCAAATGACCTGATCCTGAATTTCCTTAAATAGACTCAGATATTCTCATCTCCACGTCAATTTTTTTTATCAACTTTAAACAGTGGCGGATCCAACTTGCGACTTACGGGTTCACATGAACACAGTAGCTTATATCAAAATAGTGTAAAATTTATTCCAAAAATTCACTAAATATCTATAAATGTTTGAATGTGAACCAAGTTACTATTGAAAACTTACTCGAGGTCGTTACAGGAACCTAGTGGCGAAGCTAGGAATTTCTCCAAGGGTGTTCAAATTTGAAGAAGTGGAAAAAAAATTCCGACAAAGGGTGTTCAATATGTGTTATATACCTCCAATACGTAATATTTTACCTATATACACAGTGTAATATTTCGACGAAGAGTGGTCACTTACCACCCTTATAAAAATAAGGCTTCGCCCATGCAGGAACGCATACACATTAGACCTTGGATTCGCCTCTGACTTTCAGCTGTGATGTATTAGCATTGATAAAAATAGACGATTGATCTATCATTTTCACATGAACTTCAAAAAAGAATACTTTTAGGGAGAATTACATCCCTTATCACTTGGCCCAACAACCCATCAGAAAATGGCCCACATTTGAAGCCCTTAAACCCAATGTAGCCCAGGTTGTACATAACGTGAAAATTACTCTTCACCAGTTAGCCCACCCCTTTTTCCTTTGTTTTTCTTCTTCTTCTTCTTCTTCTTCTTCCCGTATTAGCCTTTACACCACAAAATTTCTCTACTATTGTTATTCTCCTTCAATTCTTTTCCGGATTCCAATGGTTTACTAAGGATTTGAAAAATAAAAGTCACCATTACAGGTGGTTCAAAGATTCGATTTCCCAATTGAGTTTTCCGATTTGTTAGTTGTTTGGAATGGGTGTTGCCCCAATTGATTGGAATCATCAAGATGAGTTCAAAACTTAAATTCAAGTGATTTGGAATAGATTTAGGTTATATTTGAGTTAAACTTCAGAGGATGCCCAAGAAAGAAGAAGAACACGTGAAGCTCCATTGATAGGATTCATTTGTATAATAATGTATAATATTGTATCAATATTGTATAATAATGTATAAACACCTCTTATACACTATTGTATACAAGGTTGATACATTATTTACAGGTATTTGGTAAATTTCTTCTTCTTCTTCTTCTTCTTCTTCTTATACACCTATATACATAGTGTATCAAGAATATTTTGACTCTGTGATTATACGTCTTTATACACTTTTATACAACTATATACATAATGTACCTCTTTGTATAAAAGTGTATAACATTGTATAAAAGTGTATAAGCATCTCTGACGAAATTTTTGTACGATTTTCACTTGCAATTCTAGTATAAAACTAGTCCAATTCTCCAGCAAATAACTTCAAACTTTGTATACAACCTACTTAGACTATTTCTAATAAGTTCAAACCATACCCACTCCAAATTTCTCACAAAATCATAATCGAAATTTAACAAGACTAGCATTAAAGGAGATGAGATTTTAGGTTTTTCGTGTCTGTTTTTTGCATTTTGTAGTTGTGATAGCTATGTATAAACCTGAAGATACACAAAATAAAAAACAATTGGAGAAGTATTGGTTATGGAAGAAGGCACGAACGAATGTTGACTGAGTGTCTCGATCAATGGTTACACTAAAAATGGGGAACTAATTTTTGTTTTCATTTTTGTTTGCATAGATTCTTTTTTATTAATTAAATTAAATATTTATGGGTGAAAAATGAAGAGAGAACTACAATAAAGGTATGTAGGTGACGGAAAAATAAATGAGGTCGTTATAATTAGAGTGAATAGGAAAAGAAAAGATCTTATTGATTTTTGGCTACACATTTGCAAACTTGTAACTGGGCTACAATAGTGCAAGGTCAACTTATGAAGTGCATTATTCTGTAATTTTGTCTACTTTTAAGCCCTTATCAGCATTGATAAAAATAAACAATTGATCTATCACTTTCATATGAGTAAAAATTGCGTGGGGTAGCCAATTTTTAAAGTGGTATTTACTTTTTATCCAGCATTTTTAATGTTGAGCAAAAGACTAATCTATTAAAATTAATATGAAAAGACTGAGTTACCCTTTCCTTCCCAAACGGATATATAGTGGGTTGGATAGATACGCCATTTTCAGATTCTTTCCTTACATCTCATGAACTCTTCTACTTGTTCCTCATTCTCTTTTTTTAGTCTATGAGTTTTCAATCCCCAAATTAAGATTTTTGCTTTGCCGAAGCTGCTTTTGATGGACACAGCCATACTAGTAATACTTGATTTATGAAGAATACTTGACTTATGAAGAAAGGCAAGTTGATTTTGATGCAGAATACTTGATGATGGCGAAGGATGCAGAATACTAACAATACTTTCAAGTCTAACGATGCAAAATACTGACAACGACGCCAAAGCTGATTTTGATGCAGAATACTTGACTTATGAAGAAGACAATTTGATTTATTAGTGACATTAGTGATTTATTAGACATGTAGTCATAAACTTAGAGTTACAAGCACAGAAATTAAGGACGGGTAGTCCTTAACTTAGAGTTACAAGCACAGAAATTAAGGACGGATGGTCCTGAAATTCGAGTTCCAAGTTCAAAAGTTAAGGACATGTAGTCTTGAACTTAGAGCTACAAATTCAAAAGTTAAGGACATGTAGTGCTAAACTTAGAGTTACAAGTTCAAAAACTAAGGACAAATAGTCCTTAACTTAGACTTACAAGCTCATAAATTAAGGACAGCTAGTCCTCAACTTACATTAACAAGCTCATAAGTTAAGGACACTCGGTCCTTAACTTAGAGTTACAAGCACAGAAATTAAGGACAAGTAGTCCTTAACTTAGAGTTACAAGCACATAAATTAAGGACAAGTAGTCCTTAACTTAGAGTTATAAGCACAGAAATTAAGGACAGGTGGTCCTGAACTTCGAGTTCCAAGTTCAAAAGTTAAGGACATGTAATCCTGAACTTAGAGTTACAAGTTTAAAAGTTAAGGACAGGTAGTCCTAAACTTAGAGTTACAAGTTCAAAAACTAAGGACAAGTAGTTCTTAATATTTTACACAACATTCATGAAGGTAAGGACACCATGTCCTTTATTGACACAACATTCATGAAGTTAAGGACACCATGTCCTTAATATTTACACATCACCCATGTCTAACACAGGGGTATTTTCGTCCGGGCGGGTAAAAGATTATTAAACACTGGCTAAAAAGTAAATACATCCTAAACCGTGGATAAAGAGTAAAGACATCTTTAAATAGTGGCTACTTCGCCCTTCATATGACCGTCAAAAAAGAATACTTTTAAACACTTATCTTTGAACCCCATCCCCCACCCCTCCCACATAATTATCAGACATTGGCATGGATTGCTTATACTTCTTGCCGCCTTTACTTTGTGTCAATTCTGTTGTCGTATGCCTAATGCCTTGTGATTAAGATACAGCCATCGTCAAAATCTATTGGAGTACTGCAACAATCTTTCATATTCCAGGGAACTATATCATAATAATAGCATGCAGCACAACAGCACATACCTGGAGATCGTGCACGTACTCCAAAAACAAAGGAACCTCAGGAAAGCGATATTGGTCACTGTCTTGATTTCGAAGGGATTTCTGAAAGCAAATAATATCCCCATCTCCGAGCTGCAAAACATGAGTAGTATTGCACACTATTTTCATTGCAAATAAATCAAGAAACAAAAAGAAAAAACTATTGAAAGAAATTGACCGAAAAGAAAAAACTATTGAAAGAAATTGACCAAACGGAAAAAACTGTTGAAAGAAATTGGCCACTCCATCAAATGCATAAAAACCCAAGGTGGCAACTGGCTTGATTGCATATACCTGACTACCGCGAAAACTCAGAGTACTGTCAATGTGTTCGCACATCACATTGGGTTCAAATTTTATTTCCTGAGATTAAACAAAACCTGAAATATCACATTTAATAGGTTAAGAGTTAAAAAACTGGTAGCAAGATAAAAAGAAAACTAACCTCAAATAGTTCAATTTCTTCATCAGGCGAAAAGCCAGCCAACTCATTTAGCTTCGTTAACATCTCCAGCGGCGTGCCACTTCCTTTTACAAAAAGCCGTCCAACATACCTGACAACAAAAAGGAAATGAAAGGAGAAAGACCAAAAGAACATCATCCACAGCATGGCTTCTCACATATGCAGCTCCAAGAAGTTGGACTTTAAAAGCACTACATGTTTCAAATTCATTAAATTTTGAAATTGCCCTACTAATATGATGGCCTCATCAAGTCCAAAGGTTTGACCTACTCTTCTTTTCTTCTTACCCCTTTTTTTGTTATACATTCATGCTAACTACACCTGAGCCGAGGGTCTATTGGAAACAGCTCTATCCTCACAAGGTAGGGATAAGGTCCGCGTACACACTACCTCCACAGACCGCACGGTGTGGGATAATACTGGGTATGTTGTTGTATTCATGCTTACTACAGTGTCACATTCAATTCTCTATGATGTCTGTTTTAGACCTCAAGATTGAGTAAAAGTACAAAGCACCTTCCCACGCAGTCGTGTTTTCTCAAAATAAATGACGAGATCCCAAATTCAAACATGAAAATCACTACTTTACTGAAAGAAATACTGCTATTGAGAAGCAAGATGCAATACCTTATCTTCTCTTTCAGAGGGTCATAAAGTTTAAAAAATAGAAGGATTTCTTCCTTGGTCGTCCCTGGTGGAGCAAAAGGTCGCATATCCTGCAAGAATGCACAAAATTAAAAAAACCGCAAACGTAAAACTTGTAGATAAGGCCTCACAGAGAAAACATGCAACATGTGCATCACCTAAAGAGAAGACAAGTAGGCAAGTGATGCATTACCAGGCATAAATCCACTTCCAGAAACAGTTTTAGTTCAGCACTATTCCCTTTATCTGAAACCTCTCTCAGTTGATCAACCTGAAAACATATCATGTAAGATCATTAACACTGAGTTAATCAAGTGCTACAATCGTTTAAAACATGGTAGAAACAATGCACTACAGAACAATGGCAGAAAAAACAATCATAATGCCTGCTACAATTGTCACACTTCAAGAAAATCACTTTCAAGGGGGGCGACAGGTTGCAATACTTACCAGAAGGTGGGGAGGAAGGAGTTAAGGGGATACAAAGAGATAGAGAGGGAGCAATGGACTTGTGGACCAGCAATGAATGAACCAACATGATCAGAAATATTGATCTTATTCACTAGCAACTGAAGATATCAAATTTTGCTAAGTAAGGCGCCATTGGCGGATATGAAGTTCATAATCAAAATTTTCAGGAAACAGAGTAAGGATTGCAATAAGCATTACATTCTTTAGTGGATTGGAGTCCACATAACCTTTTTTGTGACAATGGTATCCTGGCCAGCTTGCTGAAACCTCAACTATTCCACCGGGCACTTGCTATCTTCCCCAGCACGAGTATTGGGTTAAGTCCACTTAACTATATTACTTTCTTTATTCTTGCAAACATACAAATTGATTATCCTGACCTATAGCCTCTTTTTTCGGTAGAAGACAGATCAAGCACAAGAAATTAATAAATCAAGCTGTCCCATATTACAGAAAATATATGAAATTGTCTGGTAATGACCGATAGCTTCACACACAAGAATATCATGCTAAGATCATTCTTTTTTCTCATGTGATGGGATAAGCCAAGGAGAATTTTTTTTATGTGGAAAACCAAATATGAAATATACAAAGAAAATCACCAGTAAAATTGCAGTCATAATTCAGATCACGAGAATACTGCAGAAAAGTAGGATTGTCAGACAGAACTTACGGATTGAATTTCTTCTTGAGCTGTCAATGGACGAATAGGACGATATGTATGGTTTTGGCGTTTTGCCCATAGCCAATAACGTTGAAATTGCACCGGGATACCAAATTCCTTAGCAACTTCCTCCTGGAAACAGATGTATCATCAGACACATGCCAAGACTTAGAGGTGATTGACCAATGACAATCACAGGAAATATGTTTATTCTGTGCCTGAGAGCATAAATAATTTTGTGAACCCTCATACCCTAACCATGAGAACAAAGCATTCTCATCTTAATGATTGTTTGTATTTTCTTTAGTTGTTACTTACAATAACACTCATAGTTTGATGTTTTATCTTTTAACTCAATATAAAACACAAGTACAGTTGTTTACGTTCCATATTTTGAGTTGTATAAGCAGCAAATTTCACCTGACGCCTCTTTGTTAGACAAGGGCAAACTGAATCGATTCTCAGGCAGTATGTACAATTGCTCATCATGTTTGAAAAGAGCAGAGTATGGGTATGGCTTTTCAAATCTATAAGAAAAAGAAATGCAATGAAATGATAAACGTACCTTGAATTGAGTAAAAGGCATCTGTTTCCGGATACGAAAACTGTGCACTTTATTATGATCCACAAGATCAAAATAAATCTCCTTTCCGATCTGTTCACCGAGGTCTTCATCACGAGCTACCTGAAAACGAAATGACTAATTTCAGTTAAACCTTTCCCAAGTATAAAGACGCAAGAACTAAAGGATAGAGACAAAAAGATGAAAGAAACCTTGATGATTTTGTAGAGATGAGCTTCTGCTTTTTCCTTTTTCTTCTGTTCCTGTTCTTCTTGCTCTTTATTTAGTTTTATCTGAAATTTGAGGTTGATAAGAGATTACTTTGACTGAACCAATAGAAAGAAACTAAATCATCAGTATTTAGTAGAAACCCACCCTGAGATGCTCGGCTATGTCCTTTTCATCCAAATTGCGAATAACAATTTCCTCGTCACTTTCACGTATATAAACAAGCATATACACATTTGAATATTTTACAAGATCGAACAGTGAATTGTTGTCAAATTGTAGACTACTAGAAGTTATCGAATTTCCGACGGCCTAAGATCTGATACAATTCATACGGCTAGAAATACTACGCTGCCAATGAACAGCCATCGGATCAATCTGAAGACATGTGGTGCTAGTTCGCAAGAGAATTTTAGCGCTACATTCCAAGGATATTCGGGAGAGGGTGGGTGTGGCTCCCTTGGACGACAAGATGCGGGAAGCGAGGCTTAGATGGCTCGGGCACGTGCGGAGGAGGAGCCTAGATTCCCCGGTAAGGAGGTGTGAGTGGTTGGCTCTGACAGGTACGAGAAGAGGTAGAGGGCGGCCTAAGAAGTATTGGAGCGAGGTGATCAGGCAGGACATGGCGCGACTGCAGATTTCTGAGGACATGGCCTTTGATAGGAAAGTGTGAAGGTCGAGCATTAGGGTTGTAGGCTAGGAGGTAGTCGAGTGTTTCTCCTTGTTGGGCCGGCTAGTCTGATAGTGTTTTGTCTAGGACTGCTAGCGGTTTTTGTTGTGTTTCACATTGTTTTGGCCTTTCCATTTATTTGTTGTCTTTTACGATGCCGATACTATTTTTCTGGTTTTTGTTGTTGTTACAGATCTATTGTCTCTGAGCAGAGGGTCTCCCGGAAACAACCTCTCTATCACTCTGGGGTAGGGGTAAGGTCTGCGTACACTCTACCCTCCCTAGACCCCACTAATGGGATTCTACTGGGTTGTTATTGTACTTTTCCAGGCGGCTAGCCATCTGAAATTTACTAAATAAATGAATTATTTATTAAATTTCACTGTCCCGAAATGTATAGATAATAAACAATTTAATGTTTTAGCATTTTCCTAAGTCCAGCCATGGCGTCTTACCGACATAAGTGATTTCCGGAGGGAAGTTTTTAAATTACAACGACTAGCTGCCAGGTATGTCTTATTAACTCCCCGAGCAGTACCTTTTCTCCCCCCTTTTTTCCTATCCAACCCTTACCCCCTTCCATTACTCTCCTCCAATAGGAGCGTGCAGCACATACCTGGAGACTGTGCATGTACTCCAAAAATGAAGGAACCTGAGGAAAGCGGTATTGTTCACTGCATTGATTTTGAAGGGATTTCTGAAAGCAAATTATATCCCCGTCTCCTATCTGCAAAGCCAGACCAGTATTGCATAATAAATTTCTTTGCTAATATATCCAGCAGAAGAAACAAAAAGAAAAAACTATTGAAATAAATTGACTACACCAGCAAGTGCATATAAACCCCAAACAACTGGAAATTGATTGTGCATACCTCACAGTCACGAAAACTCCGCTTACTGTCAATGCGTTTACACATAACGTTGGGTTCAAATTTTATTTCCTGAGAATAACAAAACCTGAAAAATCACATATCATATGCTAAGATTTGAAACAAAATGGTAGCAAGAGAAAGAAAACTAACCTCAAAAAGTTCAATTTTTTCATCAGGCGAAAAGCCAACCATCTCATTAATCTTTGTTAATATCTCCAGCGGCTTGCCACTTTCTTTTACAAGAAGCCGTCCGACATACCTGACAACAAAAAGAAATGAAACAGAGAAAGACCAGAAACCATATCCACATCATGGCGTCTCATATATGCAGCGCCAAACAGTTGGATTTTAACAGCACTTCAAGTTTCAAATTCATTACACCCTCCGGTCCATATTAGTTGTCCTCCTTACTAAATATATCTGGTCCAAAATAATTGCCAATTTAGAAAATCAAAGTATAATTTATCATTTTCCCCCCATTTTGCCCTTAGTATTGAATGTCCTTGAAAGTAAAAAACTAGCATAGAAAATTTAAATGGAAGAGTAGAAATCAGTAATGTTATGAATGTTCAGACTGTAAAAACCTTGGTTTTCTAAGCATTTAGTCAAGTCCATTACTACTCCTGTGAATGCATTTAATTCAAGTAGAAAATTTTCCAATCTGTCATTTCGATTTTTTGGAGGAAACGATTATGAGCGCAATAGAAATTTCAATTTAGGAAAGGTCAATTTGCATACTTAGTTTTCAACATTTGGGTGCAATGTTGAAGCCAGATTAGTGTTTTTTATACTTATTCTTCCAATGTGTTTTCATTTAGTTTATTCCTGAATGTCTGTTTATCTACTCTATGCCAGTGAAGTCTTCATATGCATCATCTGACTTGTACATGTCAAAGTGAGTTTATTTTAGATTTGTTATTGGTGGATAAGGCACATAAATAAAGAGAATGTTTATTGAAAAGAGATTAATATGTTGAATGACTAAAGATATAAGGGTATTGTAGTAAAAAACCTCTTCCATTTATAGTTTCTTAAGGGACGTGTAAAAGAGAAACATGACAACTAATATGGACCGGAAGGAGTTAATCTGAATTAAAAATATTAATATGATGGTATTATCAAGTCCAAAGCTTTGACTTAGTTTTCTTCTTCTTTTTGCCCCTTTTTATTGTACATTCGTGCTCAGTGGCGGAGGCAGGATCTCCACGAATGGGGTTCAAAATTTTTTATTGTAGCTAGTGGGAATTGAACCTGTGACCTTTTGAAGGTTTTGAACCCCCCTTGACCACTAAACTACACTTTTAGGTTGTGTTAAGGGGGTCCAAAACTTAATATATAGAGATAAAAACTAGATTTTGCCTTATATAGTATAATTTTTCGGCGAATGGGGTTCGGGTGAACACCCTTGCGCCCCCCTAAATCCGCCCATGTTCGTGCTAACTGCTAACTACAGTGACAGAGTCAATTCTCTACGACGTCTGTTTAGACCTCTAGATTGAGTAAAACTACAAAGCACCTTTGCTTGCAGTCGTGCTTTGTCAAAATAAATGAGGAGATCCCAAATTCAAACATGACAATTATTACTTTAGTGAAAGTATTCCATCAATAAAGAATCATGATGTAATACCTTATCTTCTCTTTCAGAGGGTCATAAAATTTGAAAAATAGAAGGATATCTTCCTTGGTCTTCTCAGGTGGAGGAAAAGGTCGCAAATCCTGCAAGAGTGCGCAAAATAAACAAAAATGCAAAAGTAAAACATGTAGAATAAGGCCTCACAAAGAAAACATGCAACACGTGAATCACCAAAAAGGGAAGACAGGTAGGAAAATGATGCATTACCAGGCATAATTCTACTTCCAGAAACAGTTTTAGCTCAGCAGTATTTCCTTCTCTCAATTGACCAACCTGTGAACACATCATGTAACACACTAACACCGAGTTAATCAAGTGGTCCCGTTGTTTAACAGACTGCAGAACCATGGGCTATTTTTTTTTAAAGAAACCATGGACTACAGAAGAAACATTGCCATAATTGTTCACTGTTCAAGAAAATCACTCTCAAGGGGGCCTGAGGTGTTCCGACGCTGAGTCCTCTCAAAAAACATGTCTGGAAGGTGTGGTGGAGGGAGTTAGCGGCAGAAACAAAGAGATAGAGAGGGAGCAATGGACTTGTGGGCCAGTAACTAGTAAATCAGAAAAAATTGATCATATTCACTGGCAGCTGAAGACATCTATTTTCTAAGCAAAGTCAAAATTGGGGGATGCCAAGTTCTTAATAAAAAAATTCAAGAAACTACGTTAAGATTGCAAGTTCCTTAGTGGATTGGAATCCACGTAGCTTTTTTATTTTATATAATGGTGATGTCCTTGTCAGATTGCACAAACCTCGACTATTCCACCAGGTATGTGCTATCTTTCATCAGAAGTACCGAGTTGAGTCCACTTAACTATATTACTTTCTTTATTCTTGCAAACATACAAATTTGATTAACCGCACCTATTGCATCTTTTTCCGGTAGAAGATATATCAAGAACGAGAAATTAATGAATCAAACTATCCCATATAGCTTGCCGATCACACATAGAATTGTCTGGTAATGGCCGATAGCTTCACACCACCGACAAGGATATCATGCTAAGATCATTCCTCTTTACTTTCATGTGATGGGATAAGCCAAGGAGAACAAATTTTATGCGGGAGACTAAATATGAATCATGAAATGTACAAAGAACATCACCAGTAAGACTGCGGTCATAAATCAGACGAAGAGCACAGAAATACAAGATTTTTAGATAGAACTTACGGATTGAACTTCATCTTGAACTGTCAATGCACGATCAGGCCGATAAGTATGGTTCTGACGTTTTGCCCATAGCCAGTAACGTTGAAATTGTACCGGTATACGAAATACCTTAGCTACTACATCCTGGAAGCAGATGTACTATGAGACATATGCCATACTTAAGACTTACGTGAATCAGTGATTGACCAATGACATTCATAAGAAATAATTTTGTGAACCCTCACACCCTAACCAGTAGAATTCTCAATTTTTAAGATTATTTGTATTCTCTTCGATTTTACCTACATTAGCACTCAGAATTTGAAGTTTTATCATTTAACTTAATATAAAACAGAAGTACACAAGTTTACATTCCATATTTCAAGTTGTAGAAGCAGCATATTTCACATAACGTCTCTTTATTAAACAAGGTCAAACTGAATTCAGTCTCACGCAGTACATACAATTGCTCATCATGTTTGGTAAGAACAGTATGGCTATAACTTTTCAAATCTATGAGAAAAATGCAACAGAGTGATAATTGTACCTTGAATTGAGTAAATGGCATCTGTTTCTGAATATGAAAAGCATGCACTTTATCATGATCCACAAGATCAAAATACATCTCCTTTCCAATTTGTTCAGCGAGGTCTTCATCACGAGCTACCTGAACATGAAAAGAAATTTTCAGTTAGAACGTTTCCTAAATATAAAGATACAAGAAGTAAAGCATAGAGACTAAAAGCTGAAAGAAACCTTGATGATTGTGTAGTGGCGATCTTCTACTTTCTCCTTTCTCTTTTGTTCCTTCTCTTTTTGCTCTTTCTTCAGTGTTATCTGAAAGTTTAGGTTGATAAAAGATAGAATGAAAAGCTAAATCAACAGTATTGAGTAGAAACCCACCCTGAGATGCTCGGCTAAGTCATTCTCATCCACATTGCATAAAAAATTTTCCTTGTAACCTTCACGTATATAAACATGTACTCATTTGAATATTTGAATATTTTCCAATTTCCCTATATTTGATTGGTCATTATATTTTAGAAAATTGTAACCTCTGGAAGGACAAAGAGGCTGTTTCGGATAGACCCTCGGCTACACAATACAAGTTCTATAAGCAGCATTCAGCTGCATTGTCTCCTACGACCCCCAACACCCCCACTCCCACCCTTACTTCCCCATGGGCTACCACCCCACTACCCCACCATTCGCACCCCCATAATATTCGCCTAGACTATATAAAAACACTTTTGTGCCAATGCTTACCAAAATAAGTAAGAAAACCACTCATTTTCAAGAAAAATATTTCCAGCACCTATATTTTTGGTGGAAACCAAAATACGTCCTATATTCACCATACGCAAAGTAGAGTAATAACCTGTTTGGCTAAGCTTCTTTTTGGCCAAAATTATTTGTTCTTAAGTTAAGTATTTCGCCAAGCTTTTAGAAGTAACAAAGTGCTTTTGAATAGAAATACTTTTTACAAGATTCACCAAACACTAATTAGTATTTTCCAAATTAATTAGCCAAACATCAACTAAAAGCTTGGCCAAACATGCTATAAAACAGTAAAAGCCAATGAATTCCCAGAGCAAAATTAACAGAGGAATGAAGAGAAAGATTATTACTCCCACCAGATGAGGAGTGAGTAGAGTCATTGCGGAGAACTCTGACCGTCTGATCGGCGGTTTTCGGTAATTGAGAATTCAATGCATGTAATAGGAGGACTATATATGAGTTGGACTATAACAAGGAAATGGAAGAGGTAGTGAAAGGAGGGAGGTTTAGGGCCCATTTGGCCATAAAAAAATTTCCACTTTTTTTGGAAATTGTTTTACTTTTTTTCGGAATCAGTTTCAAATTTAACTTATGCGTGTTTGGAAAGTTATCCTGTAATTGAATTTAGGTATAATTGAATATAATTACAAAATTTGGCATATTGTCTAACCAAGTAATTATTTAGTCAGCATGTAATTATGTATAATTAAGAGGTTGTAATTACGCTCTCCAAATTTTAAGAAAGGGTTGAGAATTACTTATTATTACATGGTGTAATTACAACGTTATTTTTTTCTTTTCTTTTAAATTTACTTTTATTTCTATCTCTTTTCTTTTTAATTTATTTTTATTTTGACATTTCAAATTCTTTTTTTTTCAAGTGTTATTATTTTCACATTATTTATATTTTATCCTTATTTCTCATTTTTCAACCTTTACTTCATGTGTTTCAACATAATTTTTTATATTTTACTTTTCTCTTAATTATTTTTTATTTTTAATTATACTTAACTATGTTATTATTTAATTTTTCTAAGAAAATAATCTGAGAAAAAATAAGTCATCCACTAACTTGACTTATAATGAGTGATATCGTTAAAGTTGAACTTTGTTATTAGATGAGGTTATATGTAAATTTAACTATGTTAAAATGATAGATTACTTTTAATATTTAAATAATATTCTCATTGTTCAACCTTTATTTTTTGTGATTCCATATAGTTGGTCGTCTTTTTATTTTTCTTTGTTTTCTTCATTTAGCATAATTGTGCTATTATTTTAGTTTTGAAATTAATATTTAAATAATCTTCTCATTGTTCAACCTTTAATTTTTGTGATTTCATATAGTTGCTCGTGTTTTTATTTTTCTTTATTTTCTTCATTATAATTATGCTATTATTTTAGTTTTGAAACTACACCTCCTAATATTAAAATAGTGATTCATTAATAAACTTGGCATATGATGAGTGATGTCATTAAAATAGAATCTCATTTTTGAATGAGGTTATAAACTTATGGTTTCCTTTTCTCTTGAATTGTATTTACTAAATTATGTGGAACTTATTTTATATTATGTTGTAAATTTACATGAGAGTATTATGTTCACATTTTTTTTTTTTGGATTTTGAATCTATATTATAGTTTTGGTTCCATTTTATTTGCTTTAGTAGTATTGATTTATTAATTCAGATTGCATGTCATTCATTTTTCAGTTAAAATTAGTAGATTATTTTTTCGAAAAATATTTGAGTAATGTTATGGCGTTATATTTATAAATATTGATCTTTTTATCAAGCATGTTGTCCATGAAGTTCTTACAAAATATGTACTTTTAGTTTTGATAATTAATTAAAGTAAAATATTATTAATATGAAAAATATCTGTCAATTATTTTTATAATATAGTTACAAATATATGATTAGTAATTAATATATTTTTGAAAAATAATATGTATCTTAAATTTCAAATTTCATATCATTTATAAAGGTATATATTTGTTAAATCTTAACTTTTTATTTTTGATAATTATATTTATATTTAAAATTTAATTTTATTGTGGAATTACACTTGTGCAACTTAACATTACATTTGCATTTATATTGTAATTATATTATGACAAATAAAAATGTCGTAGAAATTTTACTACAGTGTAATCACTACGATAATTACTATCCTAGTAATTACATCAATTCTAATTATCTGGTGGCTTTGCAAATAGACACTTAAAGTTGAATATCGGAATTTCTCAGAATTTAAAAAACTCCAACCAGTTATTTTTCAAATTTTCACTTCAAATCACTCACAAAAGTTCAAAAAATAGCTTCAAATTATATTTATGTTCAAACACAACTCTAAATTTTCAACACTATTTTCACTTTTTTAAAACAAATTATTTTTTCCCGAATTTTAACATTTTTTATGCTCAAACACCCACTTAGGCAAAATCTTATTTTACTTTTTCTGTTTTAAACATTAAAGATTCATTGCTGAATTATTTTCTTTTTTCACCACAAAAAAAAAATGCCAATCCCTTTATATTAGAAAAATATGAGAGTAGTTTCTCACTTATTCACTGTCACGACCCAAAATCCACTAAGGGTCGTGATGGCGCCGGACTCCACTGTCAGGCAAGCCAACAACAAATAACTAGTAACTTCTCGTTTAATATTTCTGAGATCACTTCTTTTATGCGTTTAAACAATACGTGATAAATTCCACTAAATAAATGATGAAACATTTAACAATTTTAAATTTCTGAATAAACCCATAGACATCCCCAGAACCTGGTGTTACAAGTGCATGAGCTATTTCTAAGAAACAATACAATACTACATCTGTCCGGAATACAAATGGACAGAAAGTAAATACAATATACTGGAAGGGACTATACTAGCTGCGGGCTGCCTCGAGTAATGCAACTCACCTAGTCCCAGTATCATCCATGCTGCTACGCCCAGTAGGCCACTAGTAGTACATGTGCCTCTGCAACAAAAATGCACAGAAGTGTAGTATGAGTACAAAAAAATAACGTGTACTCAGTAAGTATCCCGCCTAATCTCGAAGAAGTAGAGACGAGATGGCAACTTCGACACTTACTAAAGGTCCAGTAATGGTAATATTAACGCGATGACTCACGGATTTATTAAGAACAACGGTAGATTCAAGTAAATTACTAAAACAGGTAAAAGTTCCTTTCTATTAAAAGTCTCCGGATTCGTAACCCATTAATTAACAATTATCAAGCATGCACAACTCATGCCGAGGTCGTACGGCCCGATCCAACATAAATATAAAATGTGCACTGCCGAGGATCGAACGACACGAACCATAGATGCATCTATTACCCCGCTCGCGAACCATACATGCGACGCGGTCAAATTTAAATAAGCAATCATCCTGCTCGCGAACCTTACATGCGACGCAGGTATACATAGAAATACATGCTCAAACAGCAGATTAAGAATTTATCGAGGAACATTTATCCAAATAAAAGCCAATTCTCTTTTAACGATTTAAGAAAAAGAAGTTTAATCCTTTTAGAAATTCATTACCAATTCGACAGGATTTAAGCAATTCAACTGTAGCCAACATTACAATTATTCCAAGTACAACATGCTTTTGGGTCCTAGACTACGCGGACAATAACATAATAGTAGCTACGCACGGACTCTCATCACCTCGTGCGTACTTAGCCCCCACAAATAAGATCACATAACCAATTGACTCACCTATGGGGACAATTCCCTCTTACAAGGTTAGAAAGGAGACTCACCTCGCTCCGAAGATCCATAACCGGCCTTCCATGCCTTTCCGAAAACTCAAATTGATGCACAACGCTCCAAAACTAGCCAATAGTTATGCAAGCCCATTAATATACGATAAACTACTCATAATAATCCAATTTATAACAATTCCTAACCTCGATCAGAAAGTTGACAAAAACGCCCTCGGGCCCACGTGCCCGGATTTCCAAAATTTTCGAAGAATAAGTTTACCCATAGCCTCACGAACTAAAATATATAATTTTCTCTAAATTTCCATACCCAAAATCGTGGTCAAATTCCAAGAATATAAATTTCTAGGTTTTTCTACCAAAACCCCAAATTTCTACAAATTTCCATGTCCAAATCCGTTTATAATCATGTATTTAACTCAAAACTAACATAAATTACTTACCTCATGTTTGGTGGTGAAAATGGAACCTCAAAGTTGCTCCAAATCGGCTCCAATAGAAGAAAATGGGGTTGAAATGAACCCAACCCCCGATTTAAAAGAACCTCACTGCCTCCAGCATTTCCGCATCTGCGGTCAGGGGACCGCATCTACGAGAAATGGGCCAAAGAGCTGGGACCGCATCTGCGGTCTCCAGGCCGCATCTGCGGAGCCGCATTTGCGGTTCCTGGCTTGGCCTGCCCTGGGCCGCTTCTGCGATGGGAGGACCGCATCTGCGGTCTCGCACCTGCGAACCATGAACCGCAGGTGCAGTTATGATAGAAGCAGCAGCTTCAGCACCTCTCAAAATTTCATTTTCAATCCGTTAACCATCCGGAATCCACTCGAGGCCCCTCGAACCCCAACCAATCCCAATACACATTACGGACTTGCTCGAAGCCTCAAATCATATCAAACAACGCTAAAACCACAAATCGGCCTCCAATTCAAGCTATATGAACTATAGAATTTCAAACTTCTACTTCCGGTGTTTAAACCTATCAAATCACGTCCGATTGACTTCAAATTTTGCGCACAAGTCATATTCGACATTACGGACCTACTCCAACTTCCAGAATCGGATTCCAACCCCGATATCAAAAAGTCCACTTCCGGTCAAACTTCTCAAAACCTTCAAATTTCTGTCGTTAGCCAAATGACTCCAAAATGACCCACGGACCTTCGAATTCACTTTCCGATCGCGCTCCCAACTCCAGAATCACCATACGGAGCTACTCCCAGACTCGGAATCCCAAACGGACATCGATAACACTGAAATGCTCTTCAACCCAAACTTATGAAATTTCTTCCAAAATGCTAACTTCCACAATAAGCGCCAAAACGCTCCCGGGTTATCCAAAACCCGATCCGGGCATACGCCCAAGTCCGAAATTGTCATACAGACCTGCTGGAACCTTCAAACCCTGATTTCGAGGTCGTTTACTCAAAGTTCCGATCTTAGCTAATTCTTTCAACTTAAGGCTTTTGAAATGAGAATTTTCTTTCCAAATCAACTCCGAACTTCCCGAAATTCAATTCCAACCATGCGTAAAAGTCATAATACCTGAAATGAAGCTGCTCATGGCCTTAAACTGCTGAAAGGCGCGCTAGAGCTCAAAATGACCTATCGGGTCGTTATATTCTCTCCCACTTAAACATACGTTCGTCCTCGAACATGCTAAGAATCGTGCTGGGGTTGTCCGAAATCACTGTT